CAAGGTTCTGTAAACACAAGTGTAACAGTACCTACCTCTTTAAACTGCAGTTTGCATTGTAGAAAGTTCCCATTTAATATATTAAGACAGTATTAACTTTTATCCGGGCACAGGCCCAATCTCTTTCAGCAGCACACAACATGGTTATGGGTATACGGTAACATAGAAAGGCATCTACAGGGCTGAGTGGAGAATGCTGTGGGTTAGTAAAATGATGTCTCCATTAGCAATAAAGAAATGAAAATTGGGTTGTGTTTGGGTTGGGGTTTGGAACTGAATGTTGGAAAAGTTCCTTGAGATCTTAAGACGAATTTCTGGCTCCAATTTCTATTCATTCCTTTATTGTCTACTTACCTGCCTCTACAAAGTGATGGCAGTCTGAAACACTGCAATCAGACTTACTCTCACTGAAGCAAGTTCTAAGTGGATTCACTTGCATTTGCAATGTAGGAGCAGAAACTAATAGTTATTCTGTAGGTCTTACGGACTAGTAGACTCTGGCTGTAAAACACCAAGACCATTAAACAAAATCTTACCATCTCCATGCTTACCATGAACTGCTAAGTATTTCCTACCATCAAAACTAATCAAAAGCTGGGTTTCTAACATTTTAAAATTGCATGCTAATTGGCCTTCCAAGTTTTAACACTTTGTGCCTATTATCTTCACTGTGGCAAAGTTCCTTTAGTCAAACTCTGTCCATGCTATTGATGTTTAGCAGGATTTTAACTGGAAAAATGAGATAAACACCTTTGCAACACCAAACAAAAATATAAGCTCCTTCACATGGTTTTGTAAACTACAGATTAGGAGAGGGAGAAAAGAATTTTAGAATGATGACATGAAACTGAAATAACTTTTTTTTTCCTGGTCATTTTCTTCCTTTTTATATTTCAGCTGTTCCAAAACTGTGTGGAAGATCACTTACCTGAACTGTAACAGTACAAAAGGTCTTTAACCTGTTTGTGGGTCTTCATCATAACTTGTGTGGTGAAAAAGAAGCAGCCTTATACTGAATGTTTAATTAGCATTTGAACGAAATACTTACAGTAACCTATAAGGAAAATTCCCAGCATCTCATGCCAGCATGTTTTAAAATGCTGAAGAGGTTTGCTAAACAGAAAACTTTTGATATGGGAGAACAGACTTAACTGTTCTCTACAATCATTTCTAAAGGAACCTTGAAGCCTGATGTTCACAACAGGAGAGGAAAAAAAAAAAAGTTTATGTGGAAAATACAAATATCAGGGTCTTTTCCTGGTAGCAGTAATTCCTTTCAAGGTTGTCGCTGTCCCAAAGTTTTTCTCCCTGACACAGACCATCAGCGATTCAGAAGTGATATTTCTGTTCTTTGTGGAAATTCAGTGTTGTCTCCTTCCCACTGGTCGGGCAGTTCAACTCTCCACAAAGCCCAGGCTTTCCAGACCTCCCAAGCCTACAAGAACACAAAGCAAATAAAGAATCCTAACCTTTCACTTAGTCTCCTTTGGTTACAGGTGGCTTTCCGTGTTCAACCTCCTCAGTGACAGGCAGCCTCCCTCTGAAGCAGGAGTTAAACTCTTTCCAGGATATTTCAGTTTCCTCTCTCATCTTGTTTCTAGGGTATGACAGGGATGACCCTGCTTACAAACACTTTCTCTATTGAAACAAGGGTTTGCTTGCTTCTTCTACATCGTTTTCCTGAAGAACTGAAAGACTAAAACCAAGATCTAACATAGCACTACGTTATGCAGTACAGACAAGGCAGTATGTATTTCATAAGAACATAGCCATTAATATGCAGACAGAGCGCATGTAAAAAACAAACCTTTAAGGCAGCAACATTGAGGACTTTGAAACCATACTTTTATTTCAAAACTCAAGTATGTGATACTATACAGTACAATACCAGCACACTTGTGCAAAATCTTACAATATTACAAATATAAATATGATACACAAAAATAGTGCCCTTTTAAAATTACTTTTACTAGAAACACCTGTGCTGTGCAGGAAAAAACAATAAACGTGTCTTGTTAAAGCAGAAAAATAAATATTGCACCTCAAGAAAACTATTTCAGTGTTAATAGCATAAATAATAGATCTATGTCTTGTTATCTGATGTGATCTTTGAACACAGAAGAAGTTGGGGTTTTTTTCCAGATAAGGCAAACTAATATCCAACAGATAAAACTACATTTAGAATAGTTTTTGAGCTCAATCTAGTTTCCTATTAAAAAAAAGGTGTCTTCATTAACTAACTGAAAAATATAAGCAAAAACATTTAATGTGCTGTTAGTCATTGTGGTTCACTATTTTTAGTGGACAGTTTGCTCAAAGTAGTTATAACAAGAACAACAATTTTTTAAAAATAAACTTTATTTTCAGCTTTTCATCCCCATTAAAATCTCTTGCCTCTTTCAGTCCATTCCCCACAACATTTAATACCTTTGTGGCTAAATTATGCTTGCTTTAGACGTGCAAGTAGTTCAGTTCAAATCAGTACAACTACTTCTGGAAATTTGCCCTTGTGCACTCAGTCCACAAAAAGCCAGTGTGCTGAATTTCAAGAGAGGATGGAGACCTCATTCACTCGCTGACCAAAAAACCTTAGCATGTGCTTAACATTAAGCAGTTCAGGAGTCCTACTGATATCAGTAACTTTCTACATATACTTAAAATAAGATGTTGGACCCACATCAGTACAGATGTAAATGAGAGCGAATTAATTCAATTCAAACTGTTAATTATTTTTACTCAGTGCAGCCCAACATTTCCACAATCACATAATCAAATACGTGCCATAATTTTTGGCATAGAGGATTCTGAATCTTCAGGACTATTTACCTTCAATTTTTATTGCCTTATTAAGTTATTGACACTATTTGTAAAGAATATTAAGTTAAAGAAGCTGATTTTAATAAAGAAGTATTCAAAGAGCAACTGACAAGTTTCTTCAAATACTTAAAGTACATGAAATGTCACAGTAGTTCTTCATAGTCAGATATTCTAACTGAACCAAACAGATACCAAGTAATTTGCAAGAAACCTTCCTCTGTCTTATTCTTTACCAGTTACAATTTTAGACCAAATGACACTTTCCCATTATCATTTTTGAACTTCCTTAAGCACACTATTCCTCAACAATATATACTTCAAAATAAAAAACAAACCTCCCAACTGCTTATAGAATTCTCTCCCCTCAAAAAAGCGGTAGTGGTCTGCTTTTTCATTTATTTTTCTTTTCTTTCTCCGTGTACATGTCTCTTAAGAAACATGTGGCTAAAGATGTAACAAACAAAATTCACCAGCAGGATATTTGTTACTAGTGCCAGATATGTGAATTAAATTTCTGACTGAGTTAGAAACCTGTTTCCTTTGATAGTTAGCTTGAGGTTCAGTGTTTACACCAAAAGAAAACAAGACAATATTAACTGCATCTGAACTGAAATTACAGTACTTCATAACATACTCATCCTTCAACTGATAAACAGACCTGTTAGTCAGAAAATGTCAGAAGACTGCAAGGCATAAGTGCAATCAAGTGTCACACTGATTTTGATAGTGTGATTAGATTCAAGCATATAGCTATGGAAAAACAAACATAGTTCAATCAGAAGT